TGCCCTTGAACTCATAGACTCCTCCTGCCTCAGCCTCCTAAGGGCTGAGATTACAAGTGTGCACCACCATGCCTGGCTCTGTTCATTAAGCTTCTTATATTTTACATTAAGCTTTCTGTGCGTGTGTTTATAGAGTTAATTTTGCCTCATTACTATGGCAAGATCTTTCTGTGTACTCTACCCAAATCCACATGAATCATGAGCTTTTTTTGTTTTTTCCAATCTGTCTGTTTAGAGTAGGCATTTTGTTGGTCATTCAAGAGTTGAAAATTAAAACAATACTGAGATTCCATCTCCAGAAAGAATGGCTATTATCAAGAAGTCAACCAAGAACAAATGCTGGAGGGTCTGTGGAGAAAAAGGAACCCTTCTCCAATGCTGGTGGGAATGTAGACTAGTGCAATCACTGTGGAAATCAATATGGTCCCCAAAAACTAAAACTGGGAGTTCCATTTGACCCAGCTACTCCCCTTTGTGGTATCTTCCTGAAAGAATTAAAAACATCATACCATAGCCTTATATACACACCCATGTTTAGAGCGGAACAGTTTGTAATAGCTAAATCTTGGAAACAGTCCGCATGCCCACCAACCAAGAAATGGATAAAGATGTGGGTTTTTATACAATGGAGCACTACTCTGCCATAAAGGATGAGCTTGAGGCGTTTATAGCTAAATGGATGCACCCTAAGATCATACTCTTAACAAATACACATGTTTAAATACTGCATTGCTTCTCTGATGTGAGAAATAAAAAATGGAAATAAAGACTAAAATGTACAACAGATATGGGAAGTGGAAAAAATGTTCAAATGAGAAGGAGAACAAGAGAGGTGGAAAGGAAAGACATGGAAAAAATGGAAACAACGCTTTTGTTTTTGGAAGGGACAGATGGGGAAAGAAGAGGAGAAGCAAGATATATCATGTACTGGTACAGATTCCCTATGATGAATGTTATCGTTATGTCCATCTAATGTATCTAAAATGTACCAATAAATGTTGTGCAAAAAAAAATAGAGTAGGCATTTTGTTGGCCCTGTGTGAGTGCTGGGAATTTTTTTGGGAGGGGGCATCTTTCCTAGATCCTGTTTAGTTTCCTCATATGCATGCACTGATCACCACTAGCTCAGTGTTAAGAAAGACCTCTGCCAGTCTGTGCAGTTCTCCAGCTGTGTATCTCTCCTCTGAAGCATTCTGTCCCACAAACATTAGTCTCTTGATCACTCCAGATTTGTAGTTCCATCTCCTCAGCTTGCCAGGCCTCCCCAGGGCTTTCCCTCCTGTGCCTCTCATGGCTTGCCAGCCCCCAAGGCAGGAAGTGGGGTGATAGAACCCACTTGTTTCCTGTCCAGTATCTTGAAACTTACATGCTTGGACTGCTTTTTTTTTTTTTTTTGCGGGGGGGTACTGGGGATAGAACTTAGTACCTTGTGCTTGTAAGGCAGACAGCTGTACCACAAAGCCAAATTCCTGGCCCTTGCTTTTTGTTTTTTCAGCTCAAAGCCAAATTTGGTCCTTCTTACTATGTCCTGGCCAGAATCAGAAATCCCTTTCCTTAATAATTGACATATCAATTTTTGGTTAAAGTTGACAGCATTCTTAAACATTTACTAATCTAATTTTTTTTTATTTTATTGATTTGTATGAAACCTGTGTCTATAATTGTTCAGAGTCTCTGTCGCTGTAATTCCTGTGATGCCACATAAATACTAAATGACTCTAAAGCTTTTTATCATCTTCTAATATAACCTTCTAATGTAGGCTTCTGTAGTATTAGCTAAGTAGTAATTTAGTGTGGGCTTCTGTTATTTAACAGGGTACAATTAAAGGACATGCTCTGACCTGATGAAGCAGAACAGCAAAATGTATGAGCTCTTGGAGCTTTCCCACAGCAGTCTCAGGAGGCTTCTGTGTATGGTAACTCATATATTCTACTAACCAAAACATTCAAAGCCTATTAGCTTAAATGAGGTTGTAAGAAATTGGTGAGCTAAGACAGGAAGAAAAAACCACGAAAGAAGAGCGAATCATTTTGAGCAGACTCAGTGAGATGAAACTGTGCTGAAGAATAATTGCTACAGGGATGGGAGTGACTTGGAACCCATTGGTGGTAAGCTGTGTTAGAGAACCGGGAATGTAGCAGAATAGAACTAGAATGAAAAATCGGGCCTTGTTTTGTAGGAGATGCCCTTTCTCTTGATTTGGTACCTCATAACTCCTACTAAGTTTATGGTATATGTTTGTTGGATATTGAAGGGTGAAGTAATTTAGTCAGAGCATACTTGGGGGGAAACTATATACATACATATATGTGTGTGTGTGTGCATATATATATGTATATACGCACACACACACACACCATATATATATATAAGTAGGCTAAAACCATCTAGCTGTACATGTGAACTAAAACAGAAAAATTATACTTTCATGGCATTTTATATATACTATGGAATAAATAGTATGGAATAATAACATCAGTGTATAAATCCCATGTGTTAAAGTGAGTAAATCATAATTCCTTGACCTTTGGGGTGGTGATATTATTATAGCTAAGAAAAGTTGTAAGAGATTTTTGTAACTTTGCAATAAACTTTTTAAAAAATACAAACTTCTTGTAGGCAGATATAATGTTAATTTTCTAGGACTTGAAAACTATGTGGGTTGGTAATTTTAAGAGCTCTATTTGGAAACAACAGAAGTTTTTAAAAGTAATTTAAAAATACTTAATTTACTATACTTACTTTACTCTGACAGATATTTCTGTGGCATTTCTCTCTTGGTGAGGTTTTTCTGTTTGTTTGTTTGGAACTGAGATGGAACTCAGGATCTCACACTTGCCAGGCAGGTGAGGTGCCGCTGAGCTACATCCCTGGCCACTGGTTGTTTTTATCAAGTGTATTTCTTGTTTGTTTTGTTTGTTTGTTTATTTTTGCTTTTTGAGACAGGGTCTCACTTTGTAGTTGAGACTGATCTGGAACTCACTATGTAGCCCAGGCTGGTCTCGAACTCACAGCAATCCTCCTGCCTCAGCCTCCCAGGCGTGTGCCACCCTGCCCGGCTTATTTCTTGTGTTTTGAGTAGTTTGATGATACATATGTCAGGAGTGTGTGTGGATAAGAGAAGGCAGAACATCTGCATTTTATTTTCTTCAGCTCAGAGAAGCAAAGGTTTTTTATTGTCCAGAATGCATGTAATAAGGTAGTGACAAATACGCAAAGCAGCAGATAGTACATGTGGGAGGGGAGGAAGAGTGTGCCTTTCAGGACATTGTGAGGAACATTCATTTGACCTTCAGGGTAGTATACCCATTTGTATTAGTGTTTTGTTTGCTTTTTAAAGCAAATTCTTTTATAAAGCTTAGCATATATAGAAAAAATTGAAGATTCTAAATATATACCTGATAGCTGTATTGTCTAATAGCTTCTGTTCAGATTAAGAAACAGAACATTTGTATTGGAAATGTTCTTTTTCAAGCTGGGTTGTGAGCACATGGTGTTCACAGTGTTATTATTATTATTATTATTTGTGTGTGTGTGTGTGTGTGTGTGGTACTGGGAATTGAACCCAGGGCCTTGCATATGCTAAGCAAATACTGTACCACTGAGCTACATCCTCAGCCCTAACTCAGTGTTATTTTTCATTCTTTTATTTAATGTTTAAGAATCTGCCTATCATGTTTTTAAAAATTATCTCAAGGACACATAGGCTTTAATAGTGAGAAAGTATATTTGAAAATGATTGCCTCCCCTTTTTCTGTAGTAGGCATTTGTCTCATGTGCATCTGATATAGTTTATGAACCTGTATACCTAAGTGACTGAAAAGTTTTATAATAAAAGAACATAACAGGTTCTGCCACCTGCCTCGCAAGCACAAGGGCCTGGGTTCGATCTCTGGTACAAAAAAAAAAAAAAAAAAAAAGAACGTAACAATAGGATCACTAGTAGTAAAAATCATTAGTTCTTTTTAAAATATAGCACAGTATTAACCTTTTATAACTAATGTGGTTTTTATTGTAATGTGACATTTTTATCAAAATTATGAATACATTGAAATGACAGTTTGCTTGTTGTTGTTGTTATCATCATCTGTGATGCTGGGGATTGAATCCAGGGCTTCAGGCATCCTGGGCAAGTACTGTACCACTAAGTTACAACTACAATCCAATGTGACAGTTAAAAAAAAACAAACTATCACAAAAATCCCAGAAATGGTGTATTTAGTTCTGTAATGGGATGTTTAAGCAATAGAAAGAACTGACTCTTGTTAAGACTAAAATTTATATCTAGCTTAAAGGATCCATATTTGCTGGAGAAATAATTTTCCATATAGTAAACAGAAATAATGCTAAATCTAAAGAATTTCCAGAAATTACTGTTACCTATTCACTTTTGTGTTTTTTTCCTTCAAGTGTCAACATACCTTTTTTTTTTTTTCTTTTTTGAGACAGGGTCTCACTATGTAGTTTAGGCTGGTCTTGAGCTTGCTGTGCAGTCCAGGCTGACCTCGAACTCGAGGTGCTCCTCCTGCCTCAGCCCACAAGGGCTGGGATTACAGCCTTGTGCCACCACACCCAGCTAAGGGGGCACACTCTTTTATGAACATGAGGATTTGTGGTTATTTTGCATATAGCAAATCTTATGTAGGTTTCATTTTATGAAAAGTACAAATGGGATTTTACTCTATTATGTGCAACATGTCTTTTTAAGTAAGTTTTGGCTGATTTGCCTTTTGAATAACCAACCATTTGTGTGTTTTCTGTAAATTGTTGGTCTGTAGCCTTTCTTCTGCTGTTGAGGGTTATATGCATAAAATTGTTAAAGTGTTTATTGAAAATCACTCATTGAATAATTTTTACTACTTTGACTCTAGAAGCCAATAAGGCTGTGTACGTAGAGTACAGTTTCTGATATGTTATGTGTACATAACATATTTTTTTGGTTTTTGGAGAAGTTGTTAGGACACACTAAAATCTTTGTTTTTCTGTTTTCTTCTGACAGGCAGTGGAGGAAGAAATGGCAGGTCCCAGTCAGCTCTGCATTCGCCGCTGGACTACCAAGCACGTGGCTGTATGGCTGAAGGATGAAGGCTTTTTTGAGTATGTGGACATCTTATGCAACAAGCACCGGCTTGATGGACTCACACTACTGACATTGACTGAATATGATCTCCGCTCCCCTCCTTTGGAAATCAAAGTCCTAGGGGACATTAAAAGATTAATGCTCTCAGTCCGAAAATTACAGAAAATACATATTGATGTTTTGGAGGAGATGGGCTACAACAGTGACAGTCCCATGGGCTCCATGAGCCCGTGCATCAGTGCTCTTCAGGGTGCAGACTGGCTGTGCAATGGGGAACCTTCCCATGACTGTGATGGACCCCTCACTGACCTGGGCACTGAGCAGTACCAATATATGAATGGCAAAAGCAAACATTCTATTCGAAGACTGGACCCAGAGTACTGGAAGACCATACTGAGCTGTATATATGTTTTTATAGTGTTCGGGTTTACATCATTCATTATGGTTATAGTCCATGAGCGTGTGCCTGACATGCAGACTTATCCGCCACTCCCAGATATATTCCTTGACAGGTGAGTTTCGCTTCTGCATGCTGTTTGTACAAGGTTGCTGTAATAGCAACAACGATGATATATATCTGATGATCATATCATTATTATTGCTATCGACAATGGCTTTATCTGGTAATATAAAAGGATATGCTTTGAAATCAGTTAAAGTAAATTAGAATTTAAGCCTAGGGGATCGATAGAGACCATTGCCTAATTTCTTTGTTTATAGGTTTAACTCTGGATACTTCAGATTTTAAGAGGGTGCCTTAGTGTCCTGGAAGGATGTGTATATTAAATAGAACTTGGTCTTGGTCACCTTTTCTTTTTTCCTTTTGTTTTTTGTACTGGGGAGCAAATCTAGAGGTACTCTAGTACTGAGCTACATCCCTAGCCATTTTTCTAGTTTTTATTTTGAGACAGGGCCTCACTAGTGTGTGCTGGTAGGAATCAAACTTGCAGTCTTCCTGCTACATCCTTCCTGAGTGCTGAGATTATAGGTGTGCTACACCACTACATTTGGCTTGGTAACCTTTTTTTTTTTTTTCTTTTTTAAGAAAATGATGAACAGGACTCTGATTTTCTGTAACTGGGTAGTCTCAGCACCACATGAATTGGAATTATGGATTCAATGGTAGTAATCTGTTTTTAATTAAATTCTGAATACAGAAAAAATTTAGCAGAAGTAATAAAGTGTGAGAAAAGTATAGAACAATAAAAAAAAATTGGAACTTTTTATAAATTTTTTGCCATCTCACTCTGTAATTCAAACTGACCTTAAACTCACTAAGTAGCCCAGGCTCGTTTTGAACTAATGGCGAGCCTCCTGCCTCAGTTTCCCAAGTGCTAGGATTACAGGTGTGTGCCATGACACCCGGCCATTTGTTTTTATAATTGTGATTTTTAAAAATCTTTTTGAAAGTTGTCATACCTTCTTACTTTGTTTTGTTTATGGTCTGGTTTGGTTTGGGTTGGGTTGGTTTTTTTGAGACGGGATCTTCCACTGTAGTCAAGCTGGCCTGGGAAAATAGCCCAGGCTGGCCTCCAACTTGAAATAGGATTGCAAATGTGCCCCACCACCCCATTCCATATTTTTTTATTGTAAAATGTCTTGTCCTTCTGAAAAGTGCCTTTTATGTGGGTATTTTTATATTATTTTAGGGACTAGGGATTGAACCCAGGACCTTCACACTAGCTATTATCTGCAAACCTTTTTATTTTTATTTTTTTATTTGAGGCAGTCTTGGTAAGTTTCCAAGTCAGACTTGTGATCCTCCTGCCTCAGCCTCACACTGCTGGGATTACAGGCACATGCCACTATAGCATATGTATCTTTAAACATCCATATTAATGGCAGCATAATACATGCACCACATTTTGTTCTTTGTCAAACCTTGATTAAAACTATAGTAGTTTTGTTGTTGTTTTGTAAGCCCACAAGGCGATGTGGATAAAAGAGGAGAAAAACGGCCATACCATTTTTGGAAATTTGAGGGCAGACAGATGAATGACAACTAGTAAACCTAAAAGAACCTAATTCTGAAATAGCAACAGGGATAATTGATATTAACCCAACTTATATTACACATTTCTCAAAGGTGTAGATACTGGAGGTGAAAGGGTGATGCCAAAATAGAGAAAATTGATTGAGAGATGTGTAAGAAGTCTCCTCTGCTATTCTGTATACTTTTCCCAAGTAAAAAAACCAAAGAACCTAATAAGGGTGGAAGCAGGAAGGCATGTGGTTATTAAGAGGAGTACTCTAGGCAGAGGAAATAGTAGATGCAAAAATCCTAAATTTCAAGTGTGCCCAGTGTGTTTAAGGAGCAAGTAAGATGAGGACAGCAGTTGGAGACCAAGGCTGAGAGGAGACAAGAACCTAGATTGTTGTTGGGACTTGTAGACCATTATGAGGATGTTGGCTTTCTTTCTAAGTAAAAATAGAAACCACTAGAAAATGTTGAGAATAGCATGCTCTAATTCAATATTAGAAGTTCATTCTAATTCTGTATTGAGAATAGTTTGAGGAAGCAAATCTGTTAAGATTGTTACTAAATTCAGCTAGAGAAGAAGATACTAGGGTAACACATAGTACAATTTGTCAAATCCTGTATGTATTCTTGAAGTGGAGCTAGCGGTATTTGTTGGTGTACTTGGGTGTGAGGTGTAAGAGAAAGAATGAAGTCAGATTATTGCAGGATTTTTGCCTTGTGCACCAGAAGGAAGGAGTTGCAATTTTGAGATAGGAAGGCTGAAAGGAGCTGACGTAGAGAAAAGATTAAAGGTTCCATTTTGGACACACTGAGTTTGAGGTATCTTTTATAACAAATCACATGTCAGGAGGTGGAAAAATGAGCCCAAGTTCAGAGTAAGCCCAGCTAAGATAAAGCAGTTTGCAATATGAGTAAATTATTATGATTATTACAGACAAGGCCTCCTAACGAGTGAGTATGTAAGGGGAGAGGTTCTAGGGTTCAGCCCAAGAACATTCTACCTTTAGAGGTTAGTGAAGATGACTGAGAAGGTCAGGGTAGAGAGAAATTTCCTGGAAGCCAAGCAAAAAAGTTATTTTAGGAAGGCAGGAATAACTAGCTGTGTCATATGGTCTGAGAGGTCCAGTAAGATGATAGCTGATCAGAGGATTTAGCAATATATTGGTCATCAATAACTGTCATTTAATAAGGACAAAGCTCTGACCAGAATGGGTTTAAGATAGTGTGAGACACACTGGAACTTATCTCACAAAATTTCTCCACACAAAAAAAAAAATTTGAGGGGGGTTACTGGGGATTGAACTCAGGACCTTGTGCTTGTGAGGCAGGCAGCGGCGCCACTGAGCTAAATCCTCAGTCCTCCCCTTACCATTTGCACTTTTTTGCTTGGTTTATTTTTTCTTTTATTAATTGAGTTTATTGGTACATTTAAGGTATACAGTACAATTACGTTCATTATTGGGATCTTGTACCTTTACATGACAGGTCTTGGTTCTCATTTTTTTCCCCTTGTCCATGCCCTCCCTTCATCCCCTCCTCCCCTCCCCATTTACAAACACTTTATTTCCATTTTTTCATTTTGTCATATTTTTTTCTTTTCCCTTATTACCTTTCCCTACCCTTCCCATTTTCCCTACACCTTTAGCCCTTTTCTTCCTATTTCACATAGTCAATTATATCATTAGGATCTTATGTACTATTATAGTTTTTCACACCAGAGAAACTATTCGGTATTTACACATGTGTGACTTATTTATTTCACTTAGGAGTATATCCTCGATATGTATCCATTTTCCTATGACTGAATGTAATTTCTCATTCTTTATGGCTGAGTAGCATTCCATTTTATAGAAAAACCACATCTTCTTTATCCAGTTTCCAAATGATGGGCAAATGGGCTGTTTCCAAGTTTTCGCTATTACAGACTGTGCCACTATAAACATTGGTATGCATTTATCACTGTGGTATGATTCTTTTAATTCTTTTCAGCAGAGGGATGGCTGGGTCAAATGGAACCTCTAGTCCCAGCTCTTTGAGGTATCTCCATATTGATTTCCATAGTGGTTGCACCAGTCTGCACTCCCACCAACAATGGAGAAGGGTTCCTTTGTCCCCTCAACCCTGCCAACATTTGTAATTGATTGATTTCCTGATAGCAGCCATTCTTTATGGGGTGAGGTGGAATCTCAGTGTTGTTTTCGTCTGCATCTCTTGAATGACCAGTGATGTGGAACATTTTTTCATATATTTAATTGCTGCTTTTACTTCTTTGTCTGAGAAATGTCTCTTCATTTCAGTGCACGTTTATGAATTGGGTCTTTATATTTGGGGGAGCTGATTATTTTGAGTTCTTTATATAATCTCGGTAGTAGTCCTTTGTCTGAGGTGCAGCTGGTAAAAACTCTTTCCCACAGTGTAGGTTGTCTCTTAGTTCTGTTGATGGTTTCTTTTGCAGTACAGAAGCTTTTTAATAAGATGAGGTCCCACTTGTTGATTCTTTGTGCTAGTTCCCATGCTACTGAGGATTTGTTCAAAAAGTCTTTCCCTATGTCAAAGTCTTCAAGAGTTCTGCCTAACTTATCTTCCAGAAAGTTTAGTGTTTCTGTTTTAATGTTTAGATCCTTAATCCACTTAGATTTTAATTTAGTGCATGGTGAAAGATCAGGGTCCAGTTTTAATCTTTGGCAGGTTGAAATCCAGTTTTTCCAACTCCATTTATTTAAGAGGCTATCTTACCTCCAGTGAGGATGGTCAGCTCCTTTGTCAAAGATGATGTAGCTGAGTACATCTGGAGTTGTTTTTGTGTCTTCCAGTCTGTTCCACTGATCCTCAGATCTCTTTCTTTGCCAGTACCATGCTGTTTTTATCACAGTGGCTTTGTAGTATAGTTTCAAATTGGGAATTGTTATACCCGCTGCCATGTCTCTGTTGCCTAGGATGGCTTTTGCTATTCTAGGTCTCTTACAGTTCCAAATGAATTTTTGGATTCTTTTTTCTAGTTCTGTGGAAATATAGTGTTGGAATTTTGATTGGCATTGCATTGAATCTGTATAGCAGCTTTGGTAGTATGCCCATTTTCACTATATTGATTCTTCCTACCCAGGAGCAGGGGATATCCTCTTGAATCTCTTTTTTTAGAGTGCTGTAGTTTTCAATGTAGAGGTCTTTTGCTTTTTTTGTTAGATTAATTCCTAGATACTTCATTTTTTTGAATGCTATTGTGAAAGGAATTGTTTCCCTAATTTCTCTCTCAGTGACTCTGTTAATTTGCGTACAAGTAGGCTATTGATTTTTGGGTGTTGACCTTGTATCCAGCTTCTCTGCTAAAAGTTTCAATTAAGTCTAGAAGTCTTTTGGTAGAGTTTTTTGGGTCTTCACTGTAGAGTATCATATCATCAGCAAATAATGACAGTTTAACTTCTTCCTTTCCTATCTTTATTGCTTTAATTTTTTTCTCTTGTCTAATTGCTATGGCTAATGTTTCCAGAATTATATCAAAGAGGAGTGGTGATAGTGGGCATCCTTGTCTTG